AAACTGTGTTGTAGTGTTTTGTGAAAGCAGAACTTGCCAGAGGATAAAGATGGATTTCTGGATGAGAATTCCCAGCCAAGCATTGCAGGGGTCCCCAGTTCCCTAAAGATGAACTGAAGAGGGAATTGTTAAGCAAAAAGTAACCACAACCCAAGACAGGCAAGATTCTGCCTATCCACATAGCAAAGGATGGGAAAGCTTGTTCTTATTTGATGGAGAGACTCCAGAATCTTATCTGCTGTCTTGTGGAAGTGGAGTGGGATTGCCTCAGTAGCAAACATCCAGCCAATCAGATCTAAAGGGACCGGGAAAGTGGATTCTAAGGATGGGATGGCTGTTTATCGGTGAATGTGAGCTTAGAACTGCCCTGAGTGGTGCTTTCCCCACCACAGGTACAGTGGACAAGGCCGGTTCCTCCTACAACACTGCTTCTCTAGCTCTGGAGGGCCAGGGTGCCAGGCAGGAGAGCCATCTTCCACTGCCACATGACTGATGCTGTCACCCTAGTGGGCCTGGAGAGCAGAGTACCAAATCAAAGAGAATTATGATTGTATGTGTGTGTGTGTGAGAGAGAGAGAGGGAGAGGGAGAGGGAGAGGGAGAGAGAAAGTGCACTAGCGCTTAAACCCAGAGCCTGGGTACTGTCCCTTAGCTTTTCCTCTCAAGGCTGGCACACTACCACTTGAGCCATACCTCTACGTCTTGGAGGTAAGAGTCTCATGGACTTTTCTGCACAGGCTGGCTTCAAACTATGATCCTTAGATCTTGGCCTCTTGGATTACAGGTGTGAGCCATTGGTGCCTGGTGAAGAATTATTCTGAGCCTTAAGATATAATGAAATTTGACCTGCTCTCTTTTGGACTCATCATCCTTTCTTTTCTTCCTCCTGATCTCTCCCTTTTGGAGTGGAGATGTCTGTTATGTGCCTGTTCAGAACTGTATTTTGAAAGCACATAACTGTTCACAGGTTCCCAGCTAGAGAAGAACGTTGCCATAGGAACTTGAGTCACATCCATATCTGATTTAGATGATATTTAGATGAGACTTTGGTTGTGGTCTTTAGAGTTCATTCTGCAGTTAGAATTTTGAGGATGTTAGGATTTATTTTGCATGCGATAAGAACATGAATTTGGAAGAGGAAGGCTGATTCCATGAACTTTGTTTTGGTACTGGTCCTGTGGCTAGAACACAGAGTCTGGGTGCTTTCCCTCAGCTTTTGTGCTCAAGGTTAACACTTTACCACTTTCAGCCATAGCTCCATTTCTGGCCTTTTGGTATTTAATTGAAGATAAGAGTGTCACAAATTTTCCTGCCCAGGTTGGCCTTGAATTGTGATCTTCAGATTTCAGCCTTCTGAGTAGCTAGGATTTATAAGTGTGAACCATCAAGCAAATGCCCAGTGATTCCATAGCCTTTTAAATTTGTGTCCCCCATTCCAGTTCATAGATGGAGGTCCTCCTTACAGTATGATTGTATTTGGAGACAGAGCCTTCAAAGAGATGATTAAGATGAAATGAAGTCATAAGGTTTGGGCCCAGATATGACAGGAGTGCTAATGCTGTCATTCCAAGAAGGTGTACCAGAGCATCTGTTCCTTCTTGAGCACACGCTCTCTCTCTCTCCTCTCTCTCTCATCACAAGTGAGGATATAAAGAAAGAAGGTACTGGTTGTCTACAAACTGGAAAGAACCCTCACCCAGAAACTAAGCGAGTCAGAACCTCAACTTCTCAGAAACATGAGGAAATCACTGTCTGGGTGTGGTTTAAAGTTTCCAGCCTATAGGCTTTTTTTTTTTTTGGGGGGGGGGGTTTGGGTCCGGTTGTGGGGCCTGAACTCTGGGCCTGGGCGCTGACCCTCAGCTCTTCAGCTCAAGGCTAGCGCTCTACCACTTGAGCCACAGCGCCACTTCCGGCTTTTTTCTTTTTGCTTATGTGGTGCTGAGGAATCGAACCCAGGGCCTTGAGCATGCAAGGCAGGCGCTCTACCACTGTGCCACCTTCCCAGCCCGCTTATAGTCCTTTGTTATGGCAGCCTCAACAATGAACACCATCCACCCACAAAATAAAGGCTGCTGTGGGTTTGGTAGGGCATGTATCCTTTGGCTTTTGCATTGCTAAGTTCTGGCCCTGGCTTCTTTTAGCCACATCTGAAGAGATGGTCATACCTATTAGTGGACTCCAAATTGCCTGGGCACGGGAAGGGATATTTTAAGAAGATAGTAACAAGAGTTGTTTATAGAGGCCTGCCTGCTAGACTCCTTGGCTTAGCTCGCCTAGAGTTCTGAATCCTTGTAGTTCATCCCTTTAAGGTTGTGCAATCAATTGGGCACTTCTGGAAACGCCCAGAGGGTCTTCAAAGAGACATTTATATTCAGCATTTAGTGTAACACATCCTCTCTCCCAAACCTGGCAACAGCTCCCAGTATATAATCACTGGCCACCTGTTCCTTTGAGATTGCTTGTGCATCATTACACGCAAGGAAATCAATACCCAACCATTGATTTAAGAAGGAGACAAGATTGCATGGCAATAATACATAAAGTTAGTCAAGCCCTACTTCTCAATTGTTTTGAAAGAACAGACAGTTCTATGGCCCTGCCTGAACTAGGAACTCGTCCTGCATCGGGGATCCAGTAGTAATAAAGTGTCAAGATGGATAAGACGCCATAACCCCGGATGAAATAATAGCTCCCGAGTGCTGCAGACAATCTCCAGATGCCTTTCTAGGCTCAATAGTAATATACAGAGTTGGGTCTGGGTTCTGGGCCACAGGGTCACTTTGCCACAGAAGGTAAGTGGTTTAGGGGCTGAGGGTGCAGGCTGATGCACACATATATTCTGTCCTGACAGACAGGTAAGGCCAATTGTGCACCTTATTCATTAACTGACTAAGACACCATCTGGACTTTCCAAGCTAAATTAACATGTAAAAGTCATTTAGATATGTTAATTGGTTTTGAACCAGTGAATAGAATCAGTAAAAAGGGGACCAGGGGGATAGATAATATTATCTTAAGTTTATATGGAACTTTTGTGGTTTGGGTACTGGGGCTTGAACTCACAGCCTGCTGTCCCTTAGAGCTTTCTCACGAACGGCTGGTGCTCTACCACTTGAGCCATACACTCCACTATTAGCTTTTTGGTTCACTGGGGATAAGAGTTTCATGGACTTGTCTAGTGGGATTGGCTTTGAAACTCAATCCTCAGATCTCAGCTTCCTGAGTAGGATAACAGGCGTGAGCCACCAGTTCCCCACAAGCTTTGTGCTTTTGAAAACCTGTTCATGAGTACGATTTCCCTTTACGCTTTCTCCAGTCTGTAGAACGTATGAATGATGGTTGTATTGGAACGTGAGGCCCAAAGGTTTTTATTCTTTTAAAGGGAAGAAGCTAAGGACAGTGAAAGAAATGAACACAGCAGGGCTTGTCTTCTCTCTGACCCCCAAAAACCCCACAGATAGATAGATGCCATTATTGACAAAGCTACTGAGAGGCAGCGTCAAGATCCGAACTCAGATCACCTGGACATCATAGGCCATACATGATTATAACACAGTTGAGACTTTCAAGCCTCCAGAAACATGAGACATCTCTGTTGCTTAAGCTATCCAGTCTGTGGGGACTTGGTTATGGCAGCCTGAGCAACTGAGACGATCCACAAAGTAAGGACTAGTAATTCTGGCTGCAGTGGGGTACAGGGGCATGTTTTGGCTTTCTGATTGCTAAATTCCTGGCACTGGCTTCCCTTAGTACCATCTAAAGAAATGGTACATTACAGTGAGTGTCACTTCTGGATATCTTGCTGGGCATTGGTGGTTCACAATTGTTGTCCTAACTGTTCTGGATACAGATCTGGAGGGTTAGTGATCCCACAGAAAAGATCCCGGACAGAGAAGTCTGGGAGACTGTCTCCAAAATAACCAACCAAAAGTCAGCAGTAGGTACAGCTCAAGTAAAGAGCTCCAGCTGTGAGCAAGTAAGCCTAGCAAGTACAAGGCCTTGAGTTCAAACCCTAGTACTAAATATATATATATATATATATATATATATATATATATATATATATATATATATATATATTTCTGGACACCTTGAAACAGTGGTTGGCTGGGATGGGTGACAGGCATGTAAGAAATTAATAAATGATGTAACGGACAAAGTAAGGGCTACAGAGTCAGAGATATGTGTTTAAATTCCAGCTTTTCTACTTCTAGCTGTGCTACCCTAAGCAAGATAATTTACTTTCCTGAGCTCCACTTTCCTCATGTGTCAAATTGAGAAAAAGATCTTAGCTTCATAAAGGTGATGTGAAGATTTAGTTATATAAATAACATTTCTCACACAGCAACAAACATTCTTTCCTTCTATAAAAAATATTTCTCCAAGAAGCAGAAAATTACAGAGCAGCGGAAGACAAGGGTCATTTATTTGGTAACAAATAAAGACAGAAGCTGGCGTCAGTGGCTCATGCCTGTCATATTAGCTGCTCAGGAGGCTGAGATCTGAGGATCTCAGTGTGAAGCTAGCCTGGGCAGGAAAGGCTTGAGACTCTTACCTTCAGTTAACCACACGAAGCTGGAAATGAAGCTGTTCAAATGTTAGAGTGTCAGCTTTGAGGGAGAAAGCTCAGGCCCCAGTACCAGCATTAATGTGCACTCACACGCACGCATGTGCACGCACACACAGAATAAGGATAGAAACATGACGTGGAAAGTACATAAGAGATCTTATTTCTATAGACCACAGCTCAAGGGCTACTTCCTTTAAGATGATCTCTCTGACTCCCAGAGTCTGAGTTAGTCGAGGGGCCCTTCTAGACTCCCATAAAATTTCTGGTTACCTCTATCTTAGCATGCAGTACACAGTCTCTGCATGTCTGGTTTCTCCTGTAAATAATAAATCAGCCTTCTGTTTGCTAGAGCAGCTGCCATAAATGGACACACAAGGGCAGGACTGGGTGAGAGGGAACCGGAGCCACGCGAGGCTCGTGGGTCTCCTTACCTTCACTGCGTAGGTGTTCAGCGGGTCCTTTGCATAGGAGGCAGTGTAGTACACCGCGTCGCCCGCCTCACAGCATGGCTTGTCACTCGTCAGTCTGAAATCTGACCAGCTGTCTACTCCAAACTGGAGCTGGTCTTTCTGGCCAGCCATGAAGAGGTCCTCACATTTCATGGCCAGTTTCTTCAAGGCATCTGTGTGGAGGCTTCGGATTTTCCCCACTACTTCGTCCCGGTTTTCAAGTCCACGGTAAAGGGCTTGTCTCTGTGGCTTCTGGATGTTCTGAGCCGGTCTGCAGGAGGGGCCACGGCGGCTGGACAGGGACTCTGTGCTGTTGGAGAATCTGTCCTTAGCACTGAGGGCGGTGAAGCTGCAGATGCTGTTTGCGGTGGAAGGGACAGGTCTCTCCAGAGAGTTGCAGGAGCCCACGTCCCCACCCTTGAGGTCGCAGCTAAGGGAGGAGCCGGCGCTGCTGACATCCCAGCTGGGGTCAATGTCATAGGTAGGGTTGGCCACCACACAGAGGCTGCTCTCCATGGCTCTCTGGAGGTCTCTGGAGAGGGGCTCGGTGTTGGCTCTGATGATCATCTTCTTTGGCAGTGGGGGGGGCGTGGCTTGGGAGGCGCTCAGGGCTTCTTGCTCTGCTTTCTCTCCAAAGGTGATGGCGTCATCTGAAGCCCCCTTGGGCTGCCTTGGGTGCTTGGGTGGGATCATGGCTGCTCTAGATTGTCCTGTATAATTTTTAAGGCAAGAAGAAAATGAAACTAAGTTTTGGATCTTCTTTCATAGTTGAAACAAGTCGATATGAGTGAGAGAGCTGTGGGGAACCTTAAGAACTAGTTGGTGTTTTCACTCACAGTGGGAAAAGAACAAAGAACAAATAGCTGAACATCACAGGGAGGTGTCCAAGAGGTAGAGGCAACCGAGGCGAGCAGCGTCTCAGCATTCCTCTGGTGTGTGTGTGGGGACTGGGCACTAGTGTGGGTGATGTGCTTTGTGTTCAGGAAGGAATCTGGACTCCCTGTGTCCTCAAGGGCTGCCACTCAGCACACCTCAGCACTACGCAAGCACAGACATTCCAAAACACTTGATGGAGCGGGCACTGGTGGCTCATGCCTGTGATGCTAGCTACTCAGGAGGATTGTGGTTTGAAGGCAGCCCACAAAGAGGAACCGCCACAAATCAGAAGTGGAGCTGTGGCTTAAGTGGTAGTTTTGGCCTTGAGCAAAAAGGCTAAGGGACAGCACCCAGGCCTTAATTCAAACCCCAGTACTTGCACCAAAACAAAAGAAAACAAACAAAAACACACAATGATAGCTTGTGTAGATCAAGAAAATACTTGAGGGCATTACTGAAAACAGAATTAAAACTGGGCCCATGATGCAGGGGCACAACAGCCATTATCTTGTTCTTTTGACACTGCTCCAAGTCCACATAGTATTGCACTTAGCAACTGTTATAATATACATACTTATATATGCTTGTGTGCATTATATCTTTGTGTATGAATATGTAAATATATTGTATACATCTAACATTTATGCTTAGGAAATAAAACATGTGGGTTCTATGAAAATGTTAGAGTAACTTATATAATGGAAAGACAAGCAAAATATGCCAGGAGATTCCACAAAAGTCACTAAAATTAGTCATGTTATAATGAAGTATTTACATATGATCTTGGGAGTCAGAATATAATGCTTTGTTATGGACTGAATTATGGTGTGTCCTTAACCCCTGGCACCCAAAAAGTGACCTTATTTGAAAATAATCTTTGTTAATGTAATCTCATTAGGGGTGGATCCTAATAACATTTAACAAATGTTCCCCTAAGAAGAAACACCATGGAGTGACAGAGACAAGCAGGGAGACAAGTGGTAGAGGGCGTTCCTTATCTACAAACTACAAACACAGAGTAAACCGAAGGAGTTACTTTTTTGTGTCAATGCATGTAGTAACATTTTTGTACAGAACAGAACTATTATATGAACAAAGCTATGCACATGCTGGGCGCTGGTGGCTCAGGCCTGTCATCCTAGCTACTGAGATCTGGCAGTTCAAAGCCAGCCCGGGCAGGAAAGTCTGTGACACTCTTATCTCCAATGAACTACCAGAAAACCAGAAGTGGCACTGTGGCTCAAGTGGTACAGTGCTCGCCTTGAGCTGAAGAGCTCCAGACAGTGCCCAGACCCAGAGTTCAAGCCCCACAACTGACACACACACACACAAAAGAGTGAGGGAGAAACAAGAAGAGAATGCAAAGCTCCAAAAGGCCAAGAGTTTTGTTTTACTCATTACTATAAGCACTGTGTCAAGAACAGATGGAACAGATACTCAGTATTTCTTGAATAAAATAATAAATAGCTAGGGCTGAAAGAGTACTAAAATGGTATAAGTACCTACAAAGAAACTGTAAATTCAGGCTGGGTGTGTGGCTCAGTTGTAGCATACTTCTCTAGCCTACTCAAGTCTCTGGGTTTAACCCATGGCACCACAAAAAATAAGAAAGTAGGGGCTGGGAAGGTGGCTCAGTGGTAGAGTGCTTGCCTGGCATTCATGAGGCCCTGGGTTCGATTCCTCAGCACCACATAAGCAGAAAAAGCCGGAAGTGGCACTATGGCTCTAGTGGAAGAGCGCTAGCCTTGAACTGAAGAGCTGAGGGACAGCACACATGCCCAGAGTTCAGGCCCCATGACTGGCAAAAAAAAAAAAAAAGTAAATAAAGAATTTATACAGAGAAAAACCCAGGATTAGATACCTCCACCAATGAATTCAACAAGACATTTAAATTGGTAGTAACACTAACATTTTACAAGTTCTTTTCAACAAAACAGAAGAGGAGGAGGGAATGTTTTCTACTTTGAATTTTATGTGTCCAGTGTTACATAGATATACAAGCCAGAAGAAGACATTATGAGAAAACTATCTCTTCTGAATGCAGATGCAAAAATCCTCCTAATAGCTGGGCGTTGGCAGCTCACACCTGTCATCCTAGTTACTTAAGAGGCTGAGATCTGAGGATCACAGTTTGAAGCCAACCCAGGCAGGAAAGTCAGTGAGACTCTTATCTCTAATAAACTGCTCAGAAAAAGCCAGAAGTTGTGTTGTGGCTCAAGTGGTAGAGTGCTGGCCTTGAACACAGAGAGGATCAGAGGCAGTGGGTAGGCCCTGAGTTCAAGCATCAGGCCCAGAAAAAAAAAGCCTCCTAATATATTAGCAAACCAAATCTAGAAACATTTTCAAAGGATTATGCATTATGACAAAGTGGGCTCTTCCCAGGAATGCAAGGTTGGTTTAACATCTGAAAATTAACCATTGTAAAATACCATGCTAATGAAATACCATGCCTTTTTGTGATAACACTCAACCAACAGACTGGGAACAGAAGGGGCTATGCCCAGTCTAATAAAAGACTGTATTTTACCTTGTACTTGAGCTTTTAGCAAAAGAGATTAGGAAAGAAAAAGGAAGGCATTCAGATTATAAATGAGGAATTAGCAGGCGCCAGTGGCTCATGCCTGTAATCCTACCTACTCAGGAGGCTGAGATCTCAGGATTGAGGTTCAAAGCCCAGGCAGGAAAGTCCATGAGACTCTTATTTCCAATTAACCACCAGAAAACTGGAAGTAAGTGGTGTTGTGGCTCAATGGTTGAGCACTCACCTTGAGCTGAAAATCTCAGAAACAACATCCAGGCCCAGAGTTCAAGCTCCATAACAAACCAACATAACAACAACAAAAGGAGTAACTAAAACTGTATCTATTCAGAGATGGCATAATTTTCTGTGTTGAGAAACCTAAATAATCACAAAAAGTATAAAAGTTCACTAGAGGAGGATTGCATTTCTATATATTAGCAATGATCAATCAAAAATGAAATTAAAAAAAACTTTCTGCAGGCTAAAAATAATGTGCTGATGACAACTAGTAAAAAAAATTCTATTTGTAATATCAAAAAGAATATGCAGGAGCAAATTTAATTAAACAACATTTATATCCTGCAAATTATAAAGTATTACTAAAAGAAATTTAGAAAAAATCCACACAAATGGAAATTAGTGATGTTATTAAAAATTAGCTACAAAATTAAAATGCCTAATTTTATGCATTTTATTTATGCTTTTGGTCAGACTTAATATTGTTAAGATGGAAGTATGCCATCTTAATACTATCGATAGAGATTTCATGTAATCTCTATCAAAGTTCCAACTGAATTTGTAATAGATCCTTTTTATTTTTGGTCGGTCATGGGGCTTCAATTCTGGGCCTGGGAATGGTCCTTCAGCTCTTCAGCTCAAGGCAAGTACTCTAACATTTGAGCCACGGCATCACTTCTGGTTTTCCGGTAGTTAAATGGAGATCAAAGTCTCATGGACTTTCCTGCCTGGGCTGACTTGGAACAGTGATCCTCAGATCTCAGCCACCTGAATAGCTAGGATTACAGATGTGAACCACCAGTGCCCAGCTTAGATCCTTTTCTTGTGTGCTGGTTCTAGAACTTGAACTCAGGGCCTGGGTGCTGTCTCTTGAGCTTCTTTTGCTCAAGGCTAACTCTCTATCACTTGAGCCACAGTTCCACTTCCAGCTTTTTTGGTGGTTCATTGGAGATAAGAATCTCATGGACTTTCCTGCCTGGGCTGACTTGGAACAGTGATCCTCAGATCTCAGCCACCTGAGTCCACAAGGGTGAGCCACGGGCAGCTGACTTGTTATAGACATTTATGGGACAGGTATAAAATTCATGTTATAAATCCAGGAGTCTTGGGGGAGCCAAAGAAAAAGTCTTGAAAAAGAACAAAGGTGAAGAACCCATACTTTCCAATTCCAGATGATGACAGTGTGAAGAAATCTACGTGCTCATTTGTTGATAGCAGGAATCTAAATTGTTTGTTGGAAAACAATCTGATCGTTTCTCAAAAAGTTCTAGAATCATTGTATGCGCTAGCATTTCTCCTCCCATAGAGGAGAAATTTGTCTACCACAAAGAGCGTGATGCTTATACCAGCATCATTCCTAATAGCCCCCAAATGGAAAGAACCCCCGTGTCCATCCTCTGATGAGTGGATAAATAAAATGTAATTGAATATTATTCAGCCGTAAAGAGGAATGAAGTATTGATAGACACTATGTTAATGAAGCTTGAAAATATTTATGCTAAGTAAAAGAAATGGTCACTACTGTGATTCCACTTACATGAAAAGTCTAGCAATATATGAAGCTGCAGAGACACAGTAAGGAGTGGTTGCCAGGAGCGGGTAGAAGATGAGAACGTGGATGGACTAGTAATGCACTGGTTTCTGTTGAGGATAGTGAGAATGTTCTAGAACTACTGGCAATGGTTGCAAATTTCTATGACTATGCTAAAACTCATTGAGTTGTACTCTTTTACAGGGTGAATTTTATGGTGTGTAAACTATATCTCCACAAAGCAAATCAACAATCCACTCTTAACACCATAAATTCAGTTTGCAGTCATGTGGTCCCAATTCCTGTGTCCCTGTCCACTGGGAGGATATGGGCAGGGTGTGTGCCACCGTGCAGCCCCAGTACTCCTTGGCTGGTGTGTGGTGGGAGCCACGGTTCACTTAAAGCTATGAGAAGTATGCTTTGTGACAAGCCCTTGGATTCTGGCTGCTGACTCAGGCCTGGCAGAGATGAAGCGTGATGGAGAAGGTTAGAAGCAGTGAGTTGCATCGTGTAATAGTTCAGGCCTTTGCCACCTTGCCTGACTG